GCGCAGCCGGCGCCCCAAGTTTGCCGATATCGTCAGCATCCTCGACAAGCTCATCCGTGCCCCCGAGTCCCTCAAGGCATTGGCAGACTTTGACCCCCGGTGAGCTACGGAGAGAGATGGGACGGGGCAAAGTGGAGGGGGGGGTAAGGAAGGGGGTTGCAATTTGCAGTATTGCACTCTTGCATGCTCATGTGCGCCTTTGCTTTTTTTTTTTTTTGCATTGCTTTTTGCACCTTTGCTCTTTTTTTGCATCATTTTTTGCATCTCCGCTGCCTTGCACTCCTTTTTGCATCTCCGCTGCCTTGCACGTCTTTATTGCTTCTTTGCATTCTTTGACTGCTTTTTGCCTCTCTGCATTCTTGCACCTTTGCATTCTTGCATTGCTTTCTGCATCTCTGCATTTTTGCACACTTCTTTGCATCTGTGCTTTTTTTTTAATTGATTTTGCTATTGTATATTCTTGCATTCTTTTCTACATCTTTGCATTTTTTAATTGGTTTTGTATTCTTGCACTCTTTTCTGCTTCTTTGCATCTGCACATTTTAGCTTTTTTTTTTCCCTTTGGCATTTTCGCATTGTTTCTTGCTTTTTAGCATCCTTGCCTCATTTTTTGCATTTCCACTTTTTGCATTACTCTTTGCATCTTCACATCTCTGCATTCTTTTTTACAACTGGGCATTTTCACATTGCCTCTTGCCTTTTTTTTTGCGCTATTTGTGTTATACTTTTGCTTTCCTGCATTCTGTTTCGCGTTGGGCTTTTGCCATTACTTTTTGCATCTTTGCATTTGGGGGTTGTTTTAGGCATCTCCACAGCCTGACATTGAAGTGTTGCTTTTTTGCATTTGTGCTTTTTGGATTTTTGCCTCTCTATTTTTGCATCACTTTTTGCATCCTTCAGTTTCTGCACCATTTCTTCCATCTTTCAATTTTTGCATTATTTTTGCATCCTTCCATTTCTGCATTACTTTTTGCATCCTTCCATTTTCTCATCCCTTTCTGCATCTTTTTTTTTTTTTTTTGCATCGTTTCATTTCTGCATTATTTTTTGCATCCTTCCATTTTCACGTTATTTTTTGCGTCGTTGCATTTCTGCCTCATTTTTTGCATCCTTCCATGGTCACACCTATTTTTGCACCCTCCCATTTCGGCACCATTTTTGCATCCCCCTATTCCCGCCCCGTTTCTCATGCCCCCCCCACCCCATGTCCCCCCCACTCAGGGTGTCCATCCGCCTGCCCAGCACCAGTGGCTCGGAGGGCGTCCCCTTCCGCTCCGTCCCCGAGTGGCTGGAGTCCATCAGGATGCCCCAGTACACAGAGCACTTCATGGCCTCGGGCTACAGCACCATCGAGAAGGTCCTGCAGATGACCGCCGAGTGAGTCCCCATGCTGTCCCCAGAATGTCCCCATGGTGTCCCCATGGTGTCCCTACGGTATCCTCATACTGTCCCCATGCTGTTCCTACGGTATCCTCATACTGTCCCTGTGGTGTCCCCATACTGTCCCCATACTGTATCCTTGGTGTCCCCATGGTGTCCCCATACTGTCCCCATGGTGTCCCTACGGTATCCTCATACTGTCCCCATGCTGTTCCTACGGTATCCTCATACTGTCCCTGTGGTGTCCCCATACTGTCCCCATACTGTATCCTTGGTGTCCCCATGGTGTCCCCATACTGTCCCCATGGTGTCCCCATGGTGTCCCCATACTGTACCTTTGGTGTCCCCACGCTGTCCCCCCAGTATCCTCATACTGTCCCCGTGGTGCCCCCATGCTGTCCCCTTGATATTCCCATGATGTCCCCATACCATCCCCATGCTGTCCCTATGGTGTGTCCCCTTGGTGTCCCCACACCATCCCCTCCAGCTCCCATGGGGACAGGGACGTGCTGGGAAAGGAAACCGCTTCCGTGGCGTTGGCGTTGTTGGCCCAAGGGGATGGGATAAAATTAGACATTCCCTGGCCAGGATCCGGCCGGAGAGGTCGGGATGAGCTGTGTCCGGCTTTCAGTCGCCTGGGAATGGCCCAGTTGTGGGGGGAGGCGGCAGTGATGGGTCCCCCAAAAGCAGGGAGGGGGGTTGGGACTGGATCGGGTCCCAGGGGGTGCTCAGGGCTGGATCCATCCCTGGGGGATGCTCCTCCCCCACCAAACCCCATTCCCACCTGGACCCTTTTTAGGCTCTTTCCACCCCAATAATCCTTATATTTTATTTTCTCCCCCCCCCCCCGCTTATTTCCAGCGACATCAAGAAAATCGGGGTGCGTTTGCCAGGGCACCAGAAGCGCATCGCCTACAGCCTGCTGGGGCTGCAGGAGCAGGTCGGCGCTGGGGGGGTCCCCATTTAACCCTCCCCCTGCACTCCCCAAAATACTTGAAAGCAACCAAATGAAGACACCCCCCTCCCCCCCCTCCTCCCCGAGGGGTTTATTTATTATTTCTATTATTATTAAGGGTTTTTTATAGTATTATTATTAATATTATCCCCGGGGTTGGGGATGAAATGGGTGTCACCCCCATCCTCCCCCCCCCCCCACAAAAAAAAATTAAGAAAATTAAATTTCAAGCTCATTTTGGGCTAGAGGAGGTGTTGGGGGGGTCCACTTTTTTTTTCCCCCACATTTCAAGAAAAAAAAAAAGGGGGCGCTCAGCCCCAAAACTGGCTTATTTTTGCTTTTTTCTCCCTATTTATTCCTCTCCCACCGGGTTTTTGAGTGGTTTTATTTTCCCCTTTAACGCTGATCTGCCAGTGTTACCTTTTCCTTTTATTTTTTAACCTAATTTATTCTATTTTTGTATATTTATTGTGAGGAAGCAAAGGTCGTGTCAGATTCGGGAGAGCAAAAAGGGGAAAAATTAAGAAAAAAAAAAAACACCCGGATCCCTTTTTTTTTTTTTTTTTTTCCCTTTTTTTTTATGGATTTTCAGGGGTTTGCGGGATTTTCATGGGGTTTTGATTTGAATAAAAATGTGTTGTTTTGTTTTCTACACTATTGTTGTTTCTCACTGGCTTGCAGTGATTGCAGGAATTTGGGGGGCAAAGAGGGATGGGGGGCTTTTCCCCCTGGTTTTAAGGGGTTTTAAAGGAGTTTTAAGGACTTTTTAAAGAGTTTAAGGGGTTTTTTTTAAGGGGTTTTAAGGCAGTTTAGGGGCTTGTTAGGGGGGTTTAAAAGGTTTTTTAAGGGGTTTTAAGGATTTTTTTAAGGGGTTTTAAGGGTTTTTTTAAAGGTTTTATTTTTAAGGGGGTTTTTGAGGGGTTGCACACACCTCAAAGAATGTTTCCCATCCGGGGCCTCTTTTCCTCGGCAAAACCCACGAGGAATTTGGCCTTTATATCACCCGCCGCTCCCCCAAAGCCAAACCCAAGCCACGGCAGCAGCGGGGCCGGCTGCCCGGTGCCTGCAAATAACTGGGTAGAAAAAAGCCAGAAAAGGGTTTTTTTTCTGCCCAAAACCATAAAAAAGGGGGCGGGGGGGTGGCGGTTTAGGGGGGACGAGCATCTTGCTGCAAAAGCTGCCGTTTGAGTGGTTTTCAGCCTGTTTCGGGGCGTTCGGGCCTGTGGATGCCCTATGCATGGCAGGAGTTTGCTGGTTTCGAGCCCCATGCATGACATGAGTTTGCCGGTCTCAGCCCTGCCACCACCGCCCTCAGTCCCGGCTCAAAGTCCAGCAGCGCCCAGCGGGGAACTGTCAAGATGGGGGGGGGGGGGATGGGACACCGGATTTGGGTGTGCGGCAGCACCCAGCAGCACCTTATCTTGTTTGCCTATGGTGGGGCCGGATGAGGGTGATGGGGAAACTGAGGCATGGGGTAAGCAGGGCAACCCCGCTGCTGCCATCCCCGTGCCTGGCTCGGTTCCAGCAAACTCCTGGCCCAGTCCCCATGGGAGCAGGCATGGGGTGACAGCCAGGGAAGGGGACAGGGGTGCTGTGGGTGCTACAGTCCCCATGAATGGGGCATGAGTGAGCATCCTCCCCAAGCGACGTGGGTGCTGTGGTCCCATCACCCTAGGAGCACCCTCACCCCACCAAGCACCCTCCATGGGCAATGTGGGTGCTGTGGACCCCCGCCCCATGGTCCCCTCACCCCACTGAGCCCCCAGCATGGGTGATATGGGTGCTGTGGTCCCCAGACCCCACTGAGCATCCTTCCAAAGTGATGTGGGTGCTGTGGTCCCATCACCTACAAGCACCCTCACCCCACTGAGCACCCTCCACAGAGCACATGGGTGCTGCAGCCCATCCCTGCTCCCAGCAGCCTCACCCCCACCCCAGCACCCATCCCAGCACCCATCCCAGTGCCTCTCCCATCGCCTGCCCCGCTTTTGGGGTGTCTCCCTGGCGCTGACCCCGCTTCACCTCTCCTCTGGCTGAGCCCGGGCATGCCCGCCTCACCCAACCTGCCCCGCCGTGCTAAATTACCCAGGCAGGTTTAATTACATCTTTGGTAGCGTCCGCCGCACCCTCCGCTCCCCCCAAAAACGCTGCGCCCCAGTTTTGGGGGGGGGACGGGACCAAAGAGCCGAGGGGGGAGGCTCAGTCCCCCCCCCCCTTTCCCCCCGGGATCTTGGGTTCACAAAACACCTGCCACTCTTATTAATTGCAATAATTAAGGATAATTATGTGCCAGTAATTATAGGGGGCGGGGTCTGGGGGGGGATGGTCGCAGAGACTGGGGCACTTCGGTGCATGTCCTGGGGCTGGGTGCAGTTTTGAGGTGATTTGGGGGCTTTGAGTGCTGCTGTGGGATATGGGGGGGGTTGACCCCCAAAAATGAACGTTGTGGGGTGGGAGGAGGAGGAGGAAGAAGAGGAAGCATTGATGGATTGATATATTTAATGCAAAAGCATACTTTGCTGAAGAACTGTTTCCCCCCCCGAGCCTGGCTGCCTGGGTTCCCCCAGGGAGGGGGGGACCCACATCACCTGGGGGGGGTCAGGACCCCCAGTCTTGCCATGGGCGACATCCCTGGGGAGGGGTCCCTTGAGGTCCCCAAAAGTCATCACTTGGGGTTGGCGAGCTCCTCGATCGCTCTTCGCAGCTGCAAGAGGACAGAGGAGGTGGGATGGGGGCTTGTCCCCTCCTTGTCCCCCCACTTATCTCCCCCTTTATCACCCCCTTGTCCGTCCCCCCCCTCACCTCCACCCGGCTGACGGCTCCCACCAGCTCCCCGAAGCGAGTGACGAAGATGCGCTGCAGCTTCAGCAGCTCAAAGAGGTGATGGGCCTTGGGGAGGTGACAATGGGGACGCGTGGGGACAAAGCCACCCCTGCCGCGTCCCCTCACCGTGACACAGAATTGGGGGTGGGTTGGTGGGTCCCAGCCCCCTCAGGACATGTGTGTCTCCCCCTCCACCCAAACCTGGTGCAGGGAGGTCCACGGCGAGAGCTGGAGCATGATGGGCTCGATGGCACAGTTGTCCCCAAGCGTCCCCATGGTGGTCAGCTTGGGGAAGATGACGTGTTAATTTTTGGATGGAAAAACAGCTTTTTTGGGTGCAGTGGGGCGCTCACCCCCTCATTTACCTTCTCCCCTGAGGGTGCCTGGGGATGCTTGTGGCTCTGGAGGAAGGCGACCAGCTGGGCTCTGCTGACAGTACCCACCAGCGTGGGTGACCCTGGAGGACAGGGACAAGCCTGGTGATGTCCCCCCCGGTCATAGTGACCCCTCCCAATACCCCATATCCCACCTGCGCTCTCCACCACGGGGTATTCGGCATTGACGGAGGCATCCAAGGCCACCAGCACCTCCTCGAAGCCACCACCCTTGGCCAAGGCCACCACCTGGCGCTCCATGAACTCTTCCACCACCACTTGGTAGGAGCTGGTGACCCATAAACACCCCAAATTTCCATAATTTCACAGCAAATAACCCCCAAATATGGGGCTATTGGCAGGGGAGAGGAGGGAGAGCCTTACGCCATGTGCCGGCTGCGGATGCGGGGTAGGTAGGGCAGCTTCTTGACAATGATGGTGCCGTCGTAGAAGGATGGTTGATGCTTTTGGGTGATGGCATTAGCCACCAGCACAGCCAGGACAATGGGGAGGACGTGGCCCAGGTGACCGGTGGCCTCACACACCAGTAAAGCCGTGGAGATGGCGTGGGTCACTGAGCCCGAAAAGGCAGCTGCGCCTGTCGTGGAGACCCAGGGAGGAGAGGGGAGGTCAGTGTATGGGTGGTGGGTGTCCTCCACCCGTTGGGTGTCCCTCCTCCCCACCAACTCACCGGCCAGGGCGTAGCCAGCGGGGATGACGGGGTGTGGGTCCCCCTCTGAACGGAGGCCCTGGGGGAAGAGCAGGGCCACCGTCTCCCCCAGCAAGCGCCCGATGGTGGCTCCTAAAAGGGGAGGGTGGCGGGGGGGGGGGGCCCCAACCCCCCCCCCAAAATGGTGCAGCTGGAGATGACGACCCTCCTGCGGCTCCCCTGGGGCTGGATGCAGCCTCCCCCGAGACTGAATGTGACCCCCCCCCCTCGCTCCTGGGGCTGGAGGCAACCCCTGTACTCCCACCTCCAAGGGCTGGATGCAACCCTTATCACCACCCCCCCCCAGGGCTGGATGGACCCCCTGTGCCCCCAACTCCAAGGACTGGATGCGCCCCCTTTACCCACCCCCCCAGGGGCTGGATGGACCCCTAGAGCTGTCTGCCCCCCCCATCCACCCCCGCTCCAGGGCTGGCTGCCCCCTCCTTGGTCCAGGCCAGCAGATGCCCAGACTCACCATAGATGAAGATGGGCATGAAGTAACCGGCGGGCAGGGGCAGGGTGGTGGCCAGGATCAGCATCCAGAACTGGCGGGGGGGGAATCATTCCCATGGGGACACCATCTCGGGGAGGGGACATATAGGGACTGGGGGGGGGGGCGGGCACAGCTACCTTCATCAGCAGGAAGAAGGCCAAGGTGCCGAAGATGGTGGCGGAGGGGTGGTACCACTCCTGCCAGAGCCCCCGAGGGTCCACGCTGGGGGGGTCGGCCACCGAGGAGGCGTTGGGGACCAGCACACCCCAAGTACGGTTGTCGAAGAGGGAGGTGAGATACTCCTTCATGGTGAGCTGGAAGGACAGACAGACGGGCATCCTGAGCACCTGCTGGGACGTGTTGGGGTGCCCTGGGGAGCCCCGTGCCCGCCCCTCCCCACTCACCCTGGAGGCCATCAGCTGCCCCAGCCCGGGCGGGAAGGTGATGGAGGCGAGGAGCAGCACCACCAGTACCGTGTAGACGGGCTTGCTGGAGGGGGGGAGAGGTGGTGCTGGGGGGTGTGGGGACAGACAGATGGACGGGGTACATGGGGTGGGCCCATGGATGACCGGGGGAGCGGTGGGTGGAATGGACATATGGATGCCCAACGTGCATGGGGTGGACACACGGACGCCCAGGGTGCATGGGGTGGATGTGCAGGGTGCCTGGAGTGGACATACGGAGACACAGGGCGCACGGGGCGGACACACGGACACCCAAGGTGCATGGGGTGGACGCACAGACACTCGAGGGTGCTTGGGGTTGATGCACAGGGTGCACGGGGTGGACAGGCGGACGCCCAGGATGCCTGGGGTGGAGGTGCAGTGTGCGCAGGGTGCGTGGCGGGGGACACACGGACATGCAGGGTGCAGACAGACGGACGCCTGGTACGAACTCGGTGGCCAGCAGCTTGGCTGTGAGCCGGTTCTCCTTGACAGCTGCCAGCAACCAGCGCTGGCAGAAGAGGTAGGCGCAGCCCACGAGCCCGCAGACAGCCCTGCGGAGGAGAGGGCAGGCAGGGGTACAGGCAAGGGTACAGGCAGGGGTACAGGCAGGGGTACAGGCAGGGGTACAGGCAGGGCCCTCCTTACCCCAAAATCGCAAAAAAGAAAGTCTCCAGCAGGTCAAAGGGGAAATCAATCTTGAGGTCGCTCTTAAAAACAGCGGCGATGGTATCTGGGGGAGGGGTGGTAGAGGAATGAGTGCATGGGTTTGGGGGTGGGCACCCCAAAAATGCTACAGGGCCTCCCCCCCGGGGGGGGGTAAAGGGGAAGGGCCGTATCCTCCCGCCCTGCCTTGCCTTGTTCACTGTTGAAGACAGAGAGGAGGCGAAACACGAAGGCGCCACAGGTTGCAGCAAAAAAGCCCCGCCAGTAATCCCGCACGGCGAAGTGGGAGGCCATCACCTCGATGCTGAAAAGCACCCCTGGAAAAATGGGGGGGGGGCTTTAGGGGGAGGTTTGGGGGTCCCCAGGGTGGGGCGGGGCGGGGGGTCCTCACCGCTGATGGGTGCCCCGAAAACCGTGGCCACCCCGACGGCTTGTGCTGCCACGAGCATCTCGTTCTGCTTGAATTTATTCTGCGGGGGGGGAGGGGGTTAGTCATAACCCCAATTTTGGTGGGGGGGGTGTAAAATAAAATACCCCCTAATTTTCAGGGGGGGGACAACATCCCCACCTCGTACTGCCTCGTGACCGAGGTCCGCATCTTCCCCAAATACACCGCAGCCATGGCGGAGAGGTGGACGAAGGGACCCTGGGTGCCAAGTGGGGGGGGACACGGTGCTGAGCGTTACCCCCTGCCACCACCACCTCGGCACCAAGCTAAACCGCCGGCGATGCCGAGAATCGGGGATGGCGGGAGATTGATCCCTTACCACTTTGCCGAGGAAAACGGTGCTGCCGGACGCCAGGGTGCAGGTCAACCCAACCACCTTGGCTCCAAAATTTTGGATGGCCAGGTAGTCCTCCAATACCACACCGGTCAGGATGGTCTTCAGTTCTGGAATGCCAGAGCCTGGG